TTCATTAAAATTTTATTTTTCCCTATTGAAATGGAAAAAAGATGATCAATGCACTACATTAACCAACCTCTCACTTGAAGGTATCTTCTAGAGTAAATAGCACAAGGAATTGAGTTTAATTCGTGTTTGTTTGTAGTAATTTTGAATCCGGTAGTATTTCAAAGAAGTTCTGTAGTTCAGGTTCAGAAAATAAAAATTCAAGCTTATGAAGATTTCATAAGCTTGAAGTCGATTTTTTCTTCTATGTCTGTAAAATTTCAATCAACATTAAACTTTGAGTTTCTGCAGATATGAATTGAATTGGATTCATGTGAGTTTTTAAAATTTCAATTGTTTTTTATGTGCTTTTGTAAGATTTTAATGTGAAGTTTCATGTTTCACATGAATGGTAATTCTAATCAATGAAATTGGTTGCAAGATTTTACTGTGGAGTTTAAAGTGGATGATTATTGTTATCACTATCAATGGGTGTTAGCAAGTATCGTAGACAGGTGCAATTTTGTGTTTTGATGTAGGTTATTATTCAGTTTTGTTGAATTGCTTAGTCTACTAAGCCTGATGGTGAATCTTTCTATGACATTTGATTCAATAGTTTACATTGAGTAGAGTAGTTTAGATTGAGTGCAGTAACAAGCATGTGCATTTGGTGATTTTTGTGAATGGAATTATGGCACCGTTCTAAGACATTGAGAATGGACCTTTTACTACGTCTAGATAGAAAATTATAGTACACAACTGGCTCTCACTGTTTGCGTCGGAAGAACTGAGTAATTGATTCCAGAGCACTCTCTTTGACAACTCAGAAAGTGATCAATTTGATCGTGAAACAATTACAGACGGTACATTCTCAGTAGTAGAGTTTTGTTATATCATAGATTTGATTCAGTGACTTGTACACAATATATGCATCAAAATGATGTTTTTTGTTCTGAAGAATGAACATATGGGGAGCATTGTGACCTTCCGGTGAGCACACATAACATCTTGAATAGAAAAACTAAACATTGTCTTAATTCAGATTACCAACGATGAATGAAATGAAAAGCTGAGCTTTTACAAAGAAGAATCAAGGATTGATTTCTGTTTTGCAAGCATTGCTTACTATGCTTATCATCTAACTCTGTCATATATCTCAGAGACAATTGATTGAAATTTAGATCCAATCAAAATCGAGTAATAGAAAGCTTTTCAGAGTAAATTCCAGAATTAACAAAATTAAGAAAAATATAATCCATAATATAAGTTAATTTTGATAATTAGGGAAATTTCCATGCCTTACAAGGCTTGATTTAAGGTCATCAAAATTGATGGTAAGCTCAACCTTGACCACAACGATTTCATTGGAAATTTTTTCCAAACATTGTGCAAAGTTGCAAACTCTAAATAAGAATGGTTAGTCTAGTAACTTTTGTACATGTATACTCCATCTAGTTTTTTGCCGGCTACGACTTAGTTCTAATAAACTCTTTGCTATAGAGTGCAAGTGTGATTTAACTTTACTTGCTAGAACAACCTGTAGAGATCCATGTGGATTACATTAGTTAACTCTACTAGACTTGAATCAAGGATGAGTTTGTTAAGTTAACTCTATCTTGGATATCCAGCTAGTGATAACCATGACTAGGAAGTTAACTGTGGTTAGCTTAGTTATTATGTGCACATTATCTCTTCTTGTATAGAAAAGAGAAGGAGGAAATCACTACGTATAGTTCAATATTGGACTTAGAGAGTGAACATGAAGGAGTAGAACTTGGCTATTGATGCCGTGTATACAACTATGCTTTGATGAAGTTTCTACTCTTGCCTGTGAACGTAGCCTGTGGAAGATGAACCACGTTATCTTGGTGTTGTGACTGTCATGCGTGTTGATCGATCTGCATGGTTGAATCTTTCAATGGTGATCGATCACATTTGTTAATGCCATATCAACATCATCATTGTAATGTATATTTTCTTACTCATGCATGATGGAGTTGATGGACTTGCGTCGATCATTCAAAAGTACTCCAAGCTTTCTCTGAGAGCAAGTAGAAGCAAAGAGATCTTTTTTGTTACACATCCAACAATTAGAACAATTACGTTCACAAAATTGACGGTATTGCCGGGATTGTGGATGTCTGCTTCATTCCATGTATTTCCAAATCCTGGATTTCACTTCATTTGTATGTGTACTTCAATGAGTTGTTTTGAAGAGTTTCAGGCGACATTGTGCTACCATGCAAGTTGTGCATGGGAAGCAGATGTAGAGTTTGCTAGCATAGTATATTCAGTTATCTCTTTCTATAATTATTCTATCTTGTGATGACTACGGCTTAGTTCTAGTTAATTCTTGTCTAAAGATAGTCCTTGTATTTGATATCTTTCAAGAACTTCTTACAAAGTAATTATACAGTTTAAAAGGGTTGTGTTGCCTCTAAGCTAGCAGTTTTGTTGTTATGTCCTTATATTATTACTCTATCCTATTATAGATACGGTTTAGTTTTAGTTAAATCTTGTGTAAAGAGGGGCCTTGTGTTATGTGTTGTCTAGAACTTTCGGCAAAGTTATACAGGTTACAGAGGATATTGTTTCTTTAACACAAGTTAAGTGGGAAATTCTTGAGTCTAACTATAGTTAAGGTGTAACCTCAGGGTCTCCAATGCTAAGATATTTATACCCCAGGGTTTGTGTATTACTGCAACACTTTCAATATAGCTTTCACGTGTGAGCTTTTCCGATGGATGTAACCCTCTTGAGGATGAACCACGGTATACGCTGGTGTCTCTTGTTGGATTGAGTATTTCGTCACTATGTTTCTTGGATTTTAGGTTTATATAATATTTTGAAATATGAAATAATATTATGCTAATGTTGGAGTTATCTGAGTGTCAAACTAATTTTAAACTAAGACTTCAAAACTGAATTAACCTTATTATAATTATTGAATAAATTAAATTAAATTATGTTAAGTATGATCTGCAAGTTGGCAATGGAGGATGATCAACACTGGTACAAGTATTCAGAAGTAGATATGTTGAAGTTTCAAGATATGTTTGACATCATACATCATTTGGACTTACCAATATTTTTGATCCAATTCTTGTAGTGAATTCTAAGGTTACACGATGAGGATTATCAAGTAAAACTTTTGTCTTCAATATGTAGCATCCGAATCTGTAAAATAAGAAAATCTATCACAGAAAATTCATTTTTTTCATCTTGGCGGATTGCACTGATCTAATATCATATATCTAATTTTTTATATGTTTCGTTGAATGGGTATATACATAATCGTAATTTTCTCCATTTGGATTAAACTATTTTTAAACATGAGTACATAAGTGATATATGATCAAGTGGACAAATAAATGGACAATGCTTATGTAGATATAAGTATTTACGTAAGTAGATTTGTATGTCTTTCCATTAGTTGAAAAGAAAGAAAAATGGTAAAAAATAACCATTTCACATGAAAAGATTTACACCAGAATGTTTTGTTTCATCATCTTTTATACAGAGTAAGAAATTTCTCCAATCTAGAGGATTACAAACATACATGTTAGCCTTAGAAGTGTATTAAAAAATTCAGTTATGATTTGATCAAAAATGATATACAACATATTATTATTAAGCCAGTTCAGGATCGCACAAGAAATCACACTAGCTGTACTTAGATATTGGTTACTTCTTGTGATAGATGGAGAGTGTATTTTGAAATGGTTAGATAGTATAAGATCATTGAATGTTCATGCCGTACATATAAGATTTACTTTTCACAAGATTAAAAAAATCCTTCAAATTTTTTCCTTGTTTCCATTTGACGTGATTTCCCTTGACACTTTTCACACTACAGTTTGTTTCCTTCTGATAATTCGGTAATCATTCTTTTTGTACCAAGCTATATCTCTTTCATGTTGAGTATATCAATTGGTAATTTCTTGAAGTCGTGATCTCTTCGACATTCAAAAGAAAGGAAGTAAACAAAATGGAAAATCTGTTTGGCAGTTATGTGCACAGTACTTTTTGCAGTCAGGAGACTTGAGGCTAGATTCCCTGTTTTGCGTCTCCGACATCAACATACGCTACTGAAAATATATGTTGTAATCATGGGTAGGGAATTATACTCACTAATTAAGGGACATTTGCTTTAGTTTCTGTATCTCAAAGACGTATACCCCGAAATTGGTATCATTTACTGTTGTTTAATGAACTTCCAATACAACAGTGATAGTTCTCAATCAATTGTTTGGGTGAGGAGATTTACAGGAGGTCAGTTGCTTATATGAAAATATTATCAATTGGACAATGCATGAAAATCTTTGAAGGGAGAGACATCATAATGTCACTACTGAGGTCATGCATGATAAATGTGAGGTGATCATATATGCGTAGAAAGGAAGATGCAAGAATAATCAACAAATGAGTGGAAAATCTCCTCCCCTCATTGATGTATGCAATCCAATTTTATGAGATATACAGTTAAAAACGGAAGGGTGATCGGGATCTGACATCTGGGAAAGGAGTGACTTGCTGGTCGAGCATGTGCTCACGCTGTTCGTTGTGTCCGGGTCATAAACAACGACGATCTATCATGGACCCCGTGGCTCCAGGTTTGCATGGAGGTGAGATCCGACGGCTGTGTGGAGGCCAGAAAGGGACGTGATGCGGTCAACGCCTGATGATACCGGAACGCCACCGGGGAAGATCGTCGGAAGAGCGCCGCGCCTGGCGGCCACGTCGTGGCTCCGTGAGGAGACGCGCCGGGGAAGTGGAGTGGATCAGGCAAATCGGCGCGTCGCTCGTCGACAAAATGAAATTCCCGGCTGTCCGGGGAAGACCGATGGCCGCCGGCCGCGGCCGCGGCGAGGTCGAGGTCAACCGATCGTACTTGCCAGTCTCGCCCGCCCGCTCGCTCGCTCGCTGTCCCGCAACAGGAGACCACCGGCTGTGCGTCCCTCGCGAGCAACAGACACATCTCCATCCGGTCGTTGTCGATCGTCTCCCCCGCCGGGTGCCTTTGTCCGTTGCGCGCACGAGGTTCCACACGCCATTCGCGACTTCATTCCGCTCGTTGACACGGCCCAAGTCCCTCTCCGAGTCCCACTGGCAGAGCCAAGCATCGAGACAGAGAGACAGAGAGAGAGAGAGAGTCACATCGAGAGAGAGGAGGAAGAGAGATCGTAGAAGTAATGAGGACCGAGAGGCAGGAGACGTGAGAGGAGAGGGGGAATCGAGAGATCGAGAGACGAGTCGTCGGAGACAGAGAGAACTTGATTTTCAGCAAAGCCGTTGACTTTGCGTCCTGGCCGCCCTCAGCCGGCTGTGCTGTGGCCCGACGACTCAGTTCCACATCCCCTTCGAATCCGACCAATTCGTCGCGCTCTTCCGCGGGATTGCCCGATCGATTGTCTTCTTCACTGGCGGACCAGGCGTTTTGGGTCCTTCCGCAGAGGAATTGAATTGAGTTAACTTCAGGGAGAGGAGTGGAGTGGAGTGGAGTGGAGTGGAGTAGAGTAGAGTAGAGCAGAGGAATATAATTGAACGCCTGCGAGAGGCGATTCTTTGGTTATTTCGTGCATAATGAGCTCTCAGCGCGACGAACAGGTTCATACGATCGACGAGGAGAATGCTTTAAGCTAGAACAGAGCGGAGTGGATCGAGGTGGGTGGCATTGCGAGAGCAGCTCGAGGGAACGGACTCCGTGCTCGTTGATTGATCTCCTCTGTTTTGAAACCGGCACAATGCTCCCGGAGCAAAATTGGGTGGCTTCGAAATAGGTCGGGAATTCCGGTGGATCTGGCTTTCTTCTGTCTCGAGTACCAGATTTTTGTCACAGCGGGTTCGGTTGGAGAGTTTCAGGCAGCGAGAATTGAAGATCATAGCGCTCTTTTCCTCGGGGGTCGGTCAATCGTCGGGATTTCACTCCACTGGTCGCTGCAATTCACGTCGGTGACCCTGGCCTGCAGGACACATCTGATGCAGTGCCCATAGCTGAGGTAGACGATCGTACAGGGTCTTTGGGAATAGAGAGAAGCACATCTTTCTGGCGCGAGGAATTACCGAAATTGGTGGTCGCTGACGGGACTTTTTCACTCGCGCTTCAAAATGGGGGGGAATCGGGAGTTGCGATCCTTGAAAGATATTGCACGAGACCGTAAGTCCACAACTCACCATTCTCCCTCTGTTCTTTCCAGATTGCGCCTCATACGTCCCGTGTACGTTAGATTTGCTTTTGGGTACGCCTCTTGAAGTGATTTCGTACTCGACACGTGACTTTTTTTCTCGAGACAGTTCACAAACCTCCGACTAATGAGGAGATCCGTACGAGAGATGATCACTGGAAATATAATTGATCTGCCATGAATGAATGATCCGATAAATTGTTCGGTAGATTCATTCGATACGCTTCTGGAACGGCCAGAGGAAGCGCTCTTATTTCTTGAGCTCAATCGATCGCCAGCAGTTCGAAATGGTCCCGTTGAGCTCGAGCCTGACCGGTTTTGGCGGCTGGTGCTTGCCAGGAATTCTGGTGGAAATGCTCGGGGCGGTTAAAGGAGGAGGCAAGTCAGTAGCGTGGAAGGTCTGTAAACACCAGCTTTAATCTACAAGAAAGTTTGCATTTGCGCTTCGGACACAGAACTGGACTGACCTGTTTCAGATGAACATGAACAATGGTTGGGATGTAAACTTTTCTACTTCCCACTGAAGAAAATGAATTGCTCAATTTTCAGTGTTAAAACTTTCGAGGAAAAGTCATAGGGAGCCACTAATTAAAAGCTACATGAAAACCGTGGGATCTTACAGTGGATTTCACGAGTTTGCTCCGAGAAAGTTATTTGTCCAAGCTTGCAAGACAACGTAACATTTTTTTTTTTTATTTTTGGAAGAGGATCTAGCAAGCACTAAACTAGAGAACTGGCAAAATTTCAGCTCAAACTTGTCAAGCTGACAAGTTTGAGCTGAAAGCGAGGAGAAACCAAAGACTAAAATCTCTGTATTTGACATAAAGCGATGATGAATGTAAAAGAATTGTCTTAGCCAAATCGATACAGATATGTATCATTAAGTATCAAAGAGAAATAAATGGGAATTTCTGTAATAAATCTGCTAAACCCGGACTTAAATTGCTGCAGATAACTGCATAATTTTCTCAGCCTGGTTGAGGAAGAGAGGCCCAAGAGGCATGTCTTGTCGTCTTCCTTTGATGGTTTTCGTCACCGCTATACTCGTTCACATTTCTCACGAGTTGCATGATGCAGGTCCTGATTGTTGATGAGGTGACAGTGAAAGTGATGTCCAAAATCTGCAAAGTATCAGATATACAAGAGGAGGGTATATCAGGTAGGCTACCTTTGAACTTGTTCGTATCACAACCTTTGAATTGAAGCTCCTGAGTCCAGGCTCCAATTGTGTTTGACACCAATTACGTCAAACTGAATATACCTGCAGTCGATGTGACACTGATGTCCGGTACAGGAAAGCGGTGGTGATGAAACTGAAACTGGTGTTAATGCTATGGTTTAATTTCTCAAGCTGAGTCTGGAATGCTCAGCCGAAGAAGGGCTTAGCGAAGGAAGTGCCTTGTCTACATATTTCTGTACCTTGGGAAACGCATTTGGAGGCACTTGTGTATGCTCAAACTTTTTTAACGGTGTTCTAAACTTCGAATTCTCTAACTCTTCATGATGGGAAAATTTATTTGATCGCAGTGATCGAAGATCTCAAGAAGAGCAGACAACCACAGCGTACTCTCGAGGCTGTCTATTTCATCTTTCCTTCAAGAAACAGGTAATCATCCAATGCTTGCCCCCGAAATGCTGTTGCTCCCTGAACAGCATTGAACGATGTTCATTGAAGCTTAATCTGTGCGCTAAATTGCCAAGCTTGCATGAAGTCTTCACATACACTTGTGCGAAGAATGGAGGTGGATACAGTACCTTTCAAGTTCCTATTTCTGCTGTCGAGCAAATAAAGTCAACCAATCATACCAGATAGTCGAGGTTCGAATTTTTGCCCGCACAAAGAGCATGCAAGTCGCTACGAGCTCATATAAGGTGGAGTACGTAGCATTCGAAAACAAGAGGTCTTACCTGTTGTATCGGTTTGCAGCGTATCCAAGTTCATGCAGGACATGTCAGGGCAACTTCCACTATACAAGAGGTAAGTGAAATGTTCGAGTAGCATCCATCCTTCACGTCTTTCTGCGTCTGTAGCAATTTTGCAAACTTCCAGGCGGGAATGCCATGCAGTCAGTGAAGCTTGAACCCATGACCGGACGTTGGCATATGTTTGCAGGGCGCATGTTTTCTTCAGTACCCCCCTTCCACCCGAACTGCTTCAACTTATCAAGAGTTCGCGTGATGTCTTGTCGCGTGTTGCTTCTCTTGCCGAGGTAAATGCAACTCTGAAACCTTTCAACCCGGGGGGACTTGAATACTTGATGGTTTGGGATCACTCCACTGCGTAAACCTTCATGGCATGGTTCTAACTGTTCTTCACTTCGGGCGTTGCAGCTGAATCTGGAGTTCTGGGTAGTGGACACTCAGGTATCATCCACATCCAATGAACATGCATACGTCCTTGCATTCAGCTGGAAAGCTCCTTCTCGGTTGAATTTGTGGTATCGTACACAGTCCGAGATATAGTCGAAAATCAAGGATCCGGGCCACATGATAGCCTTTCAAAAGACTGACAGTAACATGACCGCAATTCACAGGCTTTCGTCACCAACCATGATCTGGCTATGAGGCATATAGTTGGGGGTAACGAAATGACTCCGCAATACACCACGTGTATCGAGTCAATTGCGTCTCGATTGGGTACAATGTTTGCCTCGTTGAAGGTAAGGACTCACTTTATAATCCTGCTCGACGACCTCGGATGCAATAAATCTACTGTAAAATATGTTCCTTGAGAAGTAATCCACCGAATAACTGCCTGAAAGCTAACCCTAAGGCTCTCTGTACTGTTGTGCAGGAGTTTCCCGCGATTCGTTATCGTGCTATTGGAGCAGGTGAGGCTAATCCTGCAACTTCTGGACGCGATTGTGCACCCTTGAAATTGGCAACAGCACTATGGGAACGGTTACTGCAATACAAGGCCTTGCCCAACTATCCGCAGTCTGAGAGTTGCGATCTCATCATCCTAACACGGGCAGCTGACCCGGTACGTGCAGCATCACCAGGCCACGGTTTGCTGTGTACACAACCAGAACACAATACACTCATGTCCTTAAAGAAGACCTCAGTTGGTTCTCCACACTAAAGAAACTGGATGCGAGATTTAATGTCGGTAACAAACATGTCATCTCGAAACTCGTACTGTATTTGTGGACTTGTTTGATTCCATAGCTGAGAATAAATCGTGAATCGTTTGGCAGATTGCTCCTGTGATCCATGAGTGGTCATACAATGCTATGTGTCATGATCTATTGGACCTGGATGGTAACAAATTCAAGTATGAGGTAAGACGCCTGACTTTCACGTACAGACTTGGTTGAATTATTCTTGTGAAGTAGTTAATGATACCAATCAGGTCTGAAGGTATCCCTGCTCTTACCATAAATGAGCGGCAAACACTAACAGTCTTTTTTTAAGCTCAAGGGAATGGTTTTAATGCTTCAGATGACTTTCTCGTATTCAGAAACGCTGGCATATGTCGACCTGATATGTTGATAATGCAACTACGAGTAGATTTTGACAGAAAGTGATGGGCTCCTCCTACACAGGTGACAACAGCCGCTGGCAGGCAGGAACAGAAAGAAGTTCTGCTTGAAGAGCATGACGGAGTTTGGAGAGAGCTTCGTGATTTGCACATTGCGGATGTATGGAAACTACTCTATTCCTGATTCCATAGTAGTGAAGTCTTTGGATCATGAATTCCTGAAAATCCTGTGCTCCGCTTATACGGAACGAGCGTTTATGTTAACGAAATCAACAAGTAGTTCTCCTTGCATTATGACAGGTGAACTTGCGTCTCGACGCGAAGATGAAAGAGTTCAAAGGCAGGAACAAGGCCGCGCAACTGCATGGTGGAGGGTAGGTGTGGCCGGTCTTGTCTTTCCCACTCTTGCTATAAATGTTGACTACGAAGCATTGCTGCTTCGGAGTGCTTCTTACATATCATCTGCTATAGGCATGTCAGCTGCTGCGTGTGTCTTGCTCAAAGGCCTGTAGTATGTCAACGGCCACATATAGTGGCGATGACAAGCAGAGCAGTCCCTTCATAGTGTGAATGCATAGCTGCTGTCCTTACCTGAATGGGATTGACTAGTCCGTGCATACTTGATTGATAGTATCTACTATACTCATCAATCTTGCTGTTATTTTGAATCCATGAGTGATCAGAACGCGTGAAGATATTTCGACGAAAGATATGCGGAAGATTGCTCAGGCACTTCCCCAGTATCAGGACGAGCTTGAAAAATTAAGTCTTCATATTCATGTAAGGATTTCTCTGGAAGCCTGCAAGGGCCACTCTACACATATGCATGCCTGTATGTAGCCCTTGTATTCAAGGTTTGCTAGAGACGAGTATCAAGTCAAAATCTAAATGTCGCACTCGTGTTGAAGCGTACTGTCAAATACCTGCAAGATTGTTCTTCATGAAGGTTAAAAAGAGGCCTTCATAATCATAGAAAAATAAGATAGGAAGGTTTACTCTGAGCTCTAGCCTCAACATACTTCTAACTGACGATTATATTTTGAGGCAATCAAGGTCCTTTACCTCAGCGAGCTTCCTCTTTCCCATCCTTCTAGGAGTGATCTTGTGGCTTCTTAGTGATAATGATGAACGTAACAGAGTTGAACGAGTGTCAGCTACTTCGGGTCACATACAGCTTGAGATACTTGCTAGATCACGGTCTGTGGAATGACACAGTGATACCTGGATGGACATCTACTTTTAAGCTCTCACTCGTTAAGTTTAACTTGCTGCCTCAATATAAACACCCAGACTTGCAAATTTGACTTACTCGTCCTTGTATCTTGAATTTGGCTCCTGGGTGGCAGATCGCGACAAAGTTGAGTGAAAAAATGAGGGAGCAAGGTCTTACTGACCTAAGCAAGGTGGAGCAAGACCTTGTATTTGGAGGGGCAAGTAGCAAAGATCTGATAAACATTCTTACCACCAAACAGGCAAGTATAGCAGACCTTAAATTACAAATCCATTCCACATTTTGGTGCTGGAGATTTTCTTCTCCATCTGTGGCTTGAAAACCGGTTCAATATAGTTAAAAAAAGAGAGGAGACCTGGGCTCTTTTCGCCATCAAATGCACTGCTCATATGTGTGGCAATCCAGACCTTATAAATTATTAACCTGAAATTCCGACTTGCTTCTTTACAGGAATTAAGTACAGAGAACAAATTACGTCTGTTGATGATCTACGCAATAACTCATCCAGACAAGTGTGACGCAAATAAACTCCAACAATGGCTGAAGGTCTTCATCACTCACCTTTATGGTTCTCAATTTATCATGTCGTTAGGTCTTCAACCTCTGCGAACGCTGACTGTCATTATCACCAGATTGGAAAAAACGACGCATACTATGCAATTATTCTTCTAATGCTCTACAAGACCCGGCACAACTCAGCCATGTCCCGCAGTACATTTGATTTGATGCTTGTTTTGGGCCTCCCATCTTTCCATGCAGCTAGCAAGATTGACAGACGAAGAATTTGAACCAGTGGGCAACATGCGGCTTCTTGGAGCCAATGTTGGAAAGAAACATAAGATTACTCTGAGTTACGGCTCTAAAGCGGTAAATTCCTTTGGATCCTTTATCTTCATCGTTGGCGTTTTTATACAAAAAAAAATTCAACTGCTTAGATGAACGTTCATTGATCGGATGGAAACAGAGCAAAGCTTACAGGAAGGAGAAAGAAATGAGAGAAGGCGACTGGCAGAACGCGCGGTTCTTCCCAGTCATGGAGGTGAGATTGTTTACCTTCTAGCAAACATTTCACGTTGACGAAATAACTGCTGAACTATGTATCTATATGGCTCAAGTAGACTCGTTTGAGGTGTAACCATGATATACCACCTGAAAATGTGAAGATGCTGGCAATTTAGGCCATCACGAGTTCTGGCTAGATGGAAATTTTCACCTCAAACAGCCGTGATTTCTAGAGCTTCATGAAACATTTTCTTGAGGTCATACATGGAAGATGATTCCGTCCTGGCACTTGGTATTAGTCGAGCTTGGAACCCATCATATGGATCCCTTGATTCTTATACGAATATTGACGTCTGTTCAGGAGCTTGTAGAAAGTCTATCGAAAAATACTCTCTCGAAGGACGAGTACCCGTACTTCAGGAGTCCTTCAGCTTCATCAGACAATGAAAGTTCTTCGGTGCACAGAAGCTCAGCAGGTTCATCAGTGCGAAGCACCAGAAATTGGGCTCGAGGATCCGGAAGCCTATCACCAGACAATTCTATCAAGTTCGTTATCGCTACCTATCTCATGCTCCTATTTCCGAAAGCATTAATGTAAGTGACTCAATGCAGCTATTCCGATGCTTATTTCGGGTCCAAGAACCTTAACCTTCCTGTGTACCTTGTATGGCAGTGGAAGCTCTCATGGAAGCTCTCATGCTTCCAGGAAGTTTGGCAAGCGTATCTTCGTCTTCATTATAGGTGGAATGACTCACTCTGAGGTACGTGGTTTCTAAAGCTGAAGATTGTCAAGTTTATGCCCCTTCACGAGCTCTCTGGAATTTGAGACACCGTGAATTTTTCTGAGGAAGTTCTCCATGAAGGATGCAATTTATGACACAGGTATGCTTACTTCCTTATCGGCACGGTTTTGGCAGCTAAGTACGGCACACAAGATGACAAATGCATTAAGTCGCGAGGTGATTATCGGTTCTACAAGCTTGGAGACTCCGAAGGAATTCTTGTCGGTAAGAATAGCTACACTATTTCCTTCTGACTTCAGGATTTCACTTGCCTTGCGGTTACTGTCGTGCACCCACACCTTAAATAGACTTATTTTTGTTGAACTCTATGTAGCTTAACTGCCCGTGCTTTCACTTGTTTATAACTTTGAAAGCTTTGATCTATGAGACACCAGCATTCCTTGATACACATAATGGCCGGGAAACATCAGACATCGGCGACGCGAATCCCGACACTCTGGGTCAAGATGCCTAATTTTGAAACTGTGAACTTTATAAATGCACAGAAAGTGAGGTCGCTAAGTGGAGAGGACGAACTGGATCTCGACTTTTGAGCTCGTGAGACTGGTTTATCGATAGATCATCCGAACTCACTGAAGCTACGAATCGGTGCACACTGACCTACTTGAAGACAGATCTCTCACCTGTTGATATATGAGCAATTTGAGCTCGGGTCGTCGGGCACGTGTACAAGTACTCCTGGCCTTGTAGAGAAGCAGAAGACTCCCAGTCCTGCGACGCCTTGCAGACGCTCACAGAAATTTGCGTTCGTCTCAAGCGCATGAGGAGACAAATTTATATTCAATGCGCCTATTGACTCTTCGGTGTTCCCCGGCGTTTGACGCCAATTGAACTGCATTTGCTGGAAGTGAGGAGGAGTCGGCAGACAGCATCACGCTCGCTTGATCGCTCGCTTGATCGCTCGCTCACTCTCTCTCTTTCTGTGTGTCTGAAGGAGACTCACTGCTTCATGATGAGCTAGATCGAGTCTAATCAAAGAGAAACCCGAATGCAGCAATTACGCAAACAGCAACTTCACTCACCCTCTCACGGGAACTGGCAACAATCAGCCGTCATCAAAGTCCACTATGTTTTTGCCTAAGTTTTAAGTCACTCTTTGGTGGCTCCATAAAGCCACATTACTTTGCTTACAGATTGTACTCTAGCTTATTCCCTCGGTACTGCTGTAGTGTGATATCCTTCTTCTCGTCAAGTTGTGAAGAGACAGTTGAGAAAGAAATATAAAACTGGACGTCATGGCAGAGGTACCAGTTTGCAGAAGAAAAAATAAAGGCTCGGTTCAATGAAGACAGTTGCAATTACTGTGTCATGCCCAACGTACAGACCATTGTTTCGAGTCAAAAGCAGGAGCTGTCATTTAGTTTTTGGAGCTCTTCCTGTAAACAAGCGCTGTTTTTCCCAGACTGTCAGCAACAGACAGGTACAAGAATTTAGAGAGGGACTCAAATGCCGAACATTCTCTCCTCTCTATAAATATGAAAAGCACTTTGAACTAAGTGCAGAGTCAATGATAGTTTGATGCTATGGGACGAAATTTTCAGCAAGCTCTTTTGTTTTGATCACACCAGTACGTTGTACGAACTTTAAAGACCTTTGTTGGGAAGTATGCACCAGAAAACACGCTTTTGATGGTTTGAAGGAGTAATCATGGACCATATGGTCACACAAATTCTGCTCAAACTGCCTCACCAAGTCTGGCACACTAACTCTTTCTTAGCTCTCCTGTACACATGTGACGCAAGTCAATAGCTGTAAGAGGATTTTGACGATATCGACCGTCTTCATATCTCCTTGATTGCACAACCCGCCGGGTTCATCAAGTCTCTTACTCGCTCTCAGAGTACTTACATTCTCAAAATAATAATGACTATCATGTTATTCAAAGAAATGATCAGATTGTACATTATTCACTTTTCTGCTCTAACCCGTTCCAAGAAGTAATTGTCAGGTCGCACAAATGAAACTCTGAAAGATTGACCGAAATTAACTGGTCCAGTGTTAATTTCACTGACTGTGGCATCCAGTTCTTCTGTATGATCGAACACTCCAGATACGGTCTGCGGGTATGCAACATGCCAATCGACATCCTCCGCTTCTCATGGTCAGAGGAACCGATCGACGTCCCCAAATAAGACTCGTACAATATTGATAGCACGGCCATGAGAGATTCAGGCTGGTGCAAACGAAACCCACCCAATTTCATTTCTATCCACCTCAACGCTCTCCAGAGTATCACCTTGAAATTCCGAAATGAACTCCTCATGTGGAAAAGAACTCAGCCAACAGCCCGCCCGCGACGCTATACTGTGCGGTGCATCTATCCCTTGTTTGGAAGGGACGATTTTCAAGGTTCAAATGTTTGCAAATTGTCATCCGCGTTGGTTGAAGAGAGGGTTTGAAGAGAAGAGAGAGATCCACAAATTCCATCATGAGCCATCATGACGGATGATCGAGAGAGATCGAAAATGTCCTCGAGGTTCCAAACTGAGAAAACTGCAGAGCAATGAGAGAAGTCGGGCCGAGTGGGTTCACCCAGATCTCGGACCTGAAAACCAGTCCACCCGCTGCTGACGTGCTCTAAAGGCGAATCGAAGCAGGCTTTGTGCCAACAAATGACATTGCAGTGCATGAAGAAAGTTCATGGATACAAATCTTGAACAGAGGATTTGGAGAGTCTGAAACCCTCCTTCGTTATCTCACAGTGTTTTGTTGGCTTCGTCAAGCCAGAAGCAAATCGCAGTATCCTTGCATTCTAATCGTTGGAAATGATCGGATCTGACCAGAAAACGATGCCATGGAAGCAATTTATTTTCGACGAAATTTAAATCCTCGATGCGGTGACTGAAATTCGGAGCTGGCAGTAGTGCTAGCAGTCCTCCTGCCTTTGAAGGTATGACTCTCCAGGGTCCTACTTACTAGCTAACAATCCGCTTGTCCGACCTCACCTCTATTTAGAGAGTTGTTTTAATAGCGAAAATCACGTCGTGTTCGTGAGACATGGAATTTCGTATATCAGAGGGCCATGGTTGGCCTGGTACTTTAGATGAATACTGATTACCAGATCATCACGGCTGCGTCTGGCCTTCTCACCTTTATTTATCCTCGTACTAGAGGACTAAAATTACGATGGTGATGATAATCTATAACCGCGTGATTCAGAAAGCACTCATCTATTGTCCCGAAGGATTAAATCCACCACCAACCCAGTAGAGGATGAGGTTCCGTATCAACTGATGGTCTCTTCGATATCGCTTTGACACTCGAGACAACTCATGCCTGCCCTCCTACGATACTTCGTAGTGATTCGCACAATGCAGGAAACCTGTCACGGGAATGCAAAAGCTTCATGTCTATTTGTGGAAGGCTCTCTTTCTGTCTACTTTGATAGCACAACGTAACAGATGGAGATGAAACCCTGCGATTTCTGCAGATACAGATCATGAGAACAGCAGAAGCCGCGCAAAAAGTACCAGTCTGAGGTAATAATGGACATTGAGTGCATGTAAGTTCTGGACTCCCCACCGGCCTTAGGTACTCGAGCAGTACAAAGTATCTTATATAAACCGTTTTGCATGGGCTACTCGCGCAATCCTTACTGGATTTGAACATCAGTGAAATCCCTGCAAACGTCGAACGGAAAGCCCTTGCATGACCTTCTGATTAACTTCCCAGTCGGAATCTCGTGAGCGATGCGAGTTTCGTTTTAGATGGTGAGTGGTCTTCGATCGAGGTTCCTGGAGCGACACTGGTATCACTCCCAACAGTAAAATCATCCCGCCTTCTTTAAAACTCAATTCCCAGCGCAGGAGTGGTGGTTCAACGAGTCTGAAAGTCGAGATCGATGACGACCTGTCGCCAAGGTAAGTTTGGTAAATTATTTGCTCGCACATGATGATGTTGAGCGAATGCTCACCGCTCTGTGTTCTCACAACCGCACCACTTTCAAATAGAACGAAGGTATTATTGCTTCAATAAACGGTGCATGAGGAAGTACACTTGTAGCCTCTGACATCATTGCGACCGCTTAGTCGCTGATTCGCAACACTAGTTCGTCGATTCGTTCGAGCTTTAAACCCTCAAAGCCTCTTCAGCATCAGCCCTCGGCTCGTCGGCTCGTTGGGCTTTCCTCACATGAGCTCAGAATTACGAACCTTTCGGGAAAAAGTTTGAATGCATGCAGAGAGGAAGGTGCATGGTTTTTCTTTACTCCAGTGAAATGCACGAACAATATAGACACAAGGGCCAGTACGCTTGCATTTTTTGATGCATGAGGTCTTGGACTAAGGCGTTTTTCAGCCAACAGAATTCTCAGTAGTTGTACAAATGTTGTACAAAGGCTTGAACATAACCATGTTCATCAATATCATGCTTCCCGTGAGTGGGTTCGTCTTCAGCTCACATGAATCTCGGTAAAGTTTCACTCATAACGCTTGGCAATGCTTCTAGAGGTGTCGGACGAGCTGGCCGCAGAATCATAACCTCTAACAAACCTCTCGAACTAGGGACCACTGGATATTATGACTGCTTCCTCGAAGTATTTCAGATCCTACTACTGACTGCCATCTGCAGTACGAGGAACTAGCTGGAGAAAAATAGTTCACGAGAAACCCAAGAAAGTGTCATCTCACTTCGTCGAGTTCTCCTCGTACCTCCAGCACGACGACATGCCTCATGACAATTTGTCGTTAGTCTAAGTCCCATCCACATGGCCAATTTCGCATCATGCAGAACAAGCTTTTGGCTACGAAGAAATGTATAATACTACAACTTCCCTACCAGCACCTTGACGAGCAGTGCAAGCACTACTCGTCAAGGTGCCTTGCATTACACCGTCGGACATGAGTGGCACACTTCAGGTTCTTTTTCTTCAAAGGGACTGCAACCAGTGAGCTCACATCCTCTCACGCACAACATGCCATGTGTCTTTTCGGAATCACTTTAGACATGAATCAAGTTCTCGATGAAACATTGAAAAGACCTCGTTGTTTTTTTTAAGCTCTGCTACTTGACTTTAACAGCTGCCGTTTGCTGATTCAAGTGCCACGCGCTTGCTGTTGTGTCCCATGCAGCACAACTTACATTAAAGCGGAAACCCAAAGCATACTCATGGAATCCCGTGCTGAAAGCACCGTAAGTTGCTCAGTTCCTACTGCGTGTATCGTTGTTCGGAAATTTGCCAGGGCGTTTTCACTTGGCGAGTACGAAGATGCTGCAAAAAGGCGTAAACGCTCAGCTCAGCTCAGCTGCGCACTATGATGAATACGGAGGTCTACGAGGATCGACGGATTTTGTATACTATATTGAGGAGTCTGGTAAAAGCCTCGTTCGCTGCATAGAACGTTCTTGTCGGGTCGGGTGACGGTCGGGGTAAGAAAATTTACACACACCATGAAGCCAATCCACTGGCAAGTACTTGCTTCCATGTCTGATATGTAACAACTTACATATGGATGGAACAGGCTTTTGAACATGACGGATGTCACTCATTCATACCAACATGATGCAATCCACCGAGTGAGATGGTCAACCTTGTCCCTATGCCACTCGCGCGCAGACAGAATTCAGGCTTTAGTCCTGTCACTCCGTCTCCGCCAGGTGGAGAGGCCTGGAGGGGAGGGGAGAAGATTAACGAGGCCATTAGGTGTAGAGTTGAGATACGAATTTGCAGTTGAATCTCCACCGATGCTTCGAGCTACTGTCCTGTACAGAGCACAGATTTTAATGTAGCACAACTGCTTACGATACGGACATTGACTGTTCGGGTGACTGATCCAACGTCGGCTTTGGCGAGGTTTCACACATTTCCACATAACATCCATAACATGCAGTACTTTGGCTCAATTTCTCAAATTAGAATGCTATATCTAATACGGAACTGCAGTACTTGATGCGTTTACGAGTAACCCCTACATCAGCAACTCCTCCATCGTGATCGGACCATACCACCTGGTTTAAGTCGTTCACCTTGAAGGACGACTTCTTCATGTTCAGTCTGACCGTATTCCTATGTAGTAGTCCACCAGCCGCATCCATCCAATCGAAAGGCTTTTTCATAAATTGTGCCCAAAATCATCAGCATGCAATCATATGTTATGCACAAGAGCATGAAGTGCCCAAGCTCTACTATATGCATTACCAAGCATGTTCCAGCGACCCAGTTCGCTGGAAATATGGACCAGTAGCTCTTCTCATTGGTCAAGCAAAATCTTTTGGACCATTTCACATGGGGGACAAATGGTTTAATATTTCCACAATACTTCTTGATCATAAATACTGATATTTTTTTAAAGTTTTATTGAGTTGTTTATGATGTTTTTAGAAACCACTTGAATTAAAGATTTTTTTAATTTTCTATCATAATCTTGTTTATATTTTGAAGTACCTGATACAAAATTATTAAAATGGAAATTTTATATACATCTCATAATTTTTAAATTTCTGGCAATGATTCTATCTCTGATGAAAACAAACAAAGAATTAAGTAGAATCAAACCAAATGTATACTTTCGTTACCGCCTTGGGGCAAGCCTGCCAAAAGGTAGATT